ATTGGGTAGGGCAGTAAGCCTGGCCCTGGATACACACTGACCCAGTCTGGCCCGACCCTGAGTCTTGGGCTGACCAGATTTTCTAGAGGGTCAATATAGTGTCTGGGTCACTTTTTGGCTTTTAATTGCCCGTTCTTCGAATGCCCGTGCTGTAGTTCCATTTGGCCCTAGCGGGCTCCCATAATAAAAAATATATCATTCTCTTTTATTTGAATATAATTATGTTTGAAATTTAGACTTGACTAAAGTGGTGTTATATGTACTCTATTTATATATATATTTTGTTTTTATGAAGCATTAGTTTATTAACAATTTTTTATAGGTTAAACCAATAAAATGTGAACCACTTGTTCTAGTGGTTCATATTTCGATTTGGTTATGATAACATTGCTTTTAATATTTGGGTAAGACCAGCTATACTTTTGACCCTAATGTCAATCAATAATGTTAAATCCGAAACATGTCGTAGGGAGATTGCAGGTGGTAAAGGGTAGTGACTAGTGAGAGAATTTGATCTCCCCTCTCTCCTCCCTCAACGGTATAATGGAAGAGGAACAATCGGAGAAAGAGTGGATCCACCGCAAACCCCAAGCCGCCGGATGGATCGCCAACACAACAACATCACCAGCACAACCCTGTTAAAAAATCAAGAACCCTCTCTAGCGAGGGGTTCGCGGGGCAAGGAGAAATAGGTTGTGCTACTGTCACTGCGAGAGGAATGGCGAAGCGGGTAGAAGATACCGAGATGAACGCGATTGGCCAGGGAGATGAAGCAACAAGTGCGTCTCCGTTCATGACCTTGCTACCGAAGACTAATCATATTGGAAATGGATTTTTATCAAGGAACCTTTGATTCCCAGCTCGATCATGATCGAGCTCTTTACGGCAGTCCCTGGACGATTGATGATCACCAATGTAGTTAAAAGCGCGATTCTACCTAAAAGCGGAAAAGGGGTAAAATCGAAAAGCGGCGAATCAAAGCGTAAAAGCGTAAATTTTTGATGCATGTATAGTAGTTAAAAATCTGTTAAGTACGACATGTATTATGTAAAATATGAGTGCATGGAGTTTAGACAAGTGAATAAATACATGCAATTCATGTCCAAATTAAAGCAAATTCATAACATCTTAACAATAAGTTCATAAACATAAAATGTACGAGTTAATAACCAAATTCTCACAACATTAGCTTCACATTCTGCCCTTGGTTTCTCAAAGGTTCAATTAGAAACACCACATATACATAATTTAGCAGTAGCATACGTAGGTAAACCAGTAGGTTATACGCCTATTGGAAATTATAAGTAGTTTCCTTCATTTTGCTGGGTTGGTTTAAATTATTGAGAATGTGTGAGTTATAATTTAGCTAGAAATACCTACTAGGTTATATGTTCAGGGTGGACCAAGAGTGGAGAAGGGAAAGCATTTACCCACCATTTAGGAGTCATAGGTGAAGTGGCGACGGGGTAGGACAAGATAGAGACAGAAACTAACATGGTGTGGCGCCAGCGAGTGGCGACAGGCGACGACAAGTGCTACGGGTGCTGCCGCGTTGGAGCTTTGCTGGAAGGTGGCGACGGCGGTTGCGGACTTGCAGCGGCGGCGAATACATCACTGGAAGACCGGCTGCGCGGCGGCGCAAAGTGTGCTGGAGTGCTGGTGATGGAGGATTAGGGATCGCGGATGAGTGGTTTTGGCAACCTCAGCCTGATATCCACCCCCTTTCCCCCCTTTTTTTTTGTCCGAAGTGATCAAAATGGCGTCGTTTTTGTATGGCGGAGACAATTTTCTCCTTTGCTTGGAATCGGATAAAAACGGTATGAAAGCGCGCTTTTATCCGATTTTAACGATTCTACTAACGCTTTTGACTGGTTTTGAGTAAAATACGATTTTATTAGTGATTTGAAACGTTTTCCTACCCTAGAAACGTAAAACCGTACGATTTTACGCTTTAAAGCGTGATTTTGACTGCACGGATGATCACTATATAATCTCGGAGCCATGAAGTCTGGATTTCGACCCGGACTTTGATGATATCAACCGCACTGATGTCTGGGTCAGACTCCCATGCCTTCGACTGGCTTACTTTGCTTTGATTGTTGGTGCATGGTCATCTCTAAGATAAGTGTCCCTTGAGATCAACTAAGTGGAACTCATTGGAGGAGACAACTAGAACTGAAAGTGCGAGCAATGTTGAGACGAAGACAAATTCTCAAGGAAATAATTAGAAGGTACTGCACACAAGAAAGAGAACTAGAAAGTCTCCCCAATTGTCTCCAAGCAAGAAGGGAAACCCTCGATGGTGTCCAGAAGTCCGACTCTAACAATGCAATTGAGTCATAAACCCCCTGATGGTTCAATTAAATATGCATCTCAATTCAAGAAAGATGTTGGTGTTGTTGTGTCCCCTGTTGGACCTACTAGCAAGCAACCTTGTCAAAGCCCCACAAGCTGAGAAAGGAAGAAGTTAGCGCTGGCAAAGATAGAAGAGGTGCACATCCTAAACCCAAAGATCTTAGTGCCTCCAAAATCACCGAAGCATATAAGAATAAGTTTACTCATAAAGTTGAAAATGGGAAGGGACACCCCAGGAAGATCGACTTCAATGTGAATCGAGACGATGGCGAGGCAGGAACTAGGAATGTCCAGTAGCATTTCGAGAATTATCCAATTTAAGGGGAGGACAAGGATGAGACGACAATGGTCGTCGATGCTAACTGAAAATCCCGACCTCTGGTCGCGTCAGGGAAGTCTCTCAAATCTCTAATGGAATTGTAGGGGTGCTAAGCACCCCAAATTTTGTTCTACTTTGGATGTGTATATTGCTAATCACTCTTCGAAGTTTGCATCTTAGAACCTCGTATTAATGGTGAAAAAGCTACCGAGGTTATTAAGACCCTTGGTTTTGATTCTTTTAAAGTTTTTGATGCATAGGCTTTCAAAGGTGGCATCTGGGTGCTTTGGGATAGTAAGAAAGTGTAGCTGGAACTCCTTAACCGACACAAGCAATTCAAACATCTCAAATTTTCGATTGTTGGAAAGGAGGTCGGATTTCTAACTGTTATCTACGCTAGTCCTAATGAACATGATAGATGAGACCTATGGAGAGCCCTCAAATTTCATGGATGACAAATCAAGGCCCGTGGCTTCTCACTGAGGATTTCAACTCCATCATAAAGCCATCAGAGAAACAAGGAGGGGCCAAGTTCAATCCGGCCCGAGTCAAAGAGTTCAATGATTTCATCATGGATTATGGGTTATTGGATATTGAATTTGTTGACCCTAAGTTCACATGGGCGACCATGGCATCTCTTCTGAAAGAAACGCTTGGATCGCAGCATGTGCAACCTACTGTGGATGGAAAGCTTTCCTAACACTATTACCGTGCACCTCACCAAACTTTGCTCAGATCATAGGCCTATTTTAACGTGTGATTCGAGGATTTTCGACAAGAAACCCCTGATGAGACGTTTCCAGTTGTTAGCTCCTTGGTTAGTTCATAAGGAGTTTCACTCCTTCGTTGCTTCTTCCTGAACTTCTGGCTTTGATTTCCGGCCCTCCTTGCAGGTCTTTACTAAGAGGCTTAGAATAAAGACCTTTTTGAAAACATCTTCAAAAGGAAGAGAGAGCTGCTGAACAACCTCAGTAAGATGGAAATGAAAAATGAGCAACTCCCCAATCGGTTGACTGTTAACCAGAAGAGATTAGTCAAGGAAGAAATAGAGCATACACTCTGACAAGAAGAGCTCATTTGGAGACAAAAATCCGAAACAAAGATGGTGCTTGAAGGAGACCGAAATACGAGATACTTCTATAATAGTACTCTTACCAGATGGAAGAGAAATATGATTACAACTCTGATTAATGAGAATGGTCAATAGGTTTCGGACCCTGAGGAACTCATGTTGATGGCGCGCTCTTTCTACATCAAGTTGTTCACTAATGAGGAAGATATGCCTAGATTGGAGATTGCAACCGACTTTCCTTGTATCAACATTGCAACGACTACTAGACTTGGCCTTGTTCCTAACATTAAAGAGATCCGAGCCACTGTGGTGAGCATGGGTGGCTTGAAAGCACATGGCTCGGATGGTTTCCATGCCCTCTTCTACCACAAAGTTGGCAGCTTATAGGGATGGACTTCTCGAGTTCAATTGTTTCTCTTTCATCAATTCAGACCGGATCAGAGCACTCAACTTAACCCTCCTTGCTCTTATTCCTAAAACAAAGAACCCTCTTTCTGTGAACAACTTTAGACCGATTAGTTTGTGTAACATAGGGCCTAAGGTGTTTGCGAAATGTCTTGAAAATAGTTATATGCTTGCAAGACATCTTGATCTTGCAATAAACTGTCCATTCCATTTCCCTGAAATCCAGAAAGAAAGACTACATGTTGCTTAAAGTGGATTTAGCGAAGGTGTATGACAAGATTAGTTGGGAAGTTTTGGCTGACACATTGCGGCATGACAACTTTCTTGATGACAACATCCGTGTGATCATGGCTTGTGTCACGAATCAAATTTTCGTGCTTGGCCAACTCAACCAAATTTGATAAGTTATAAGATGCATTTTGCGGGATATGATGATTAAAGAAAAGGCTAGAGATGTTGTGATCCAAAGACAGCAAATGCCATGTATCAAGAAATATGGTGTTTGACGAGATAACATCATACCGGTTACCTTAAAATGGTAATCATGCCTGAATAAAAGGATTATAAAGAAGATGTTTTGACTTTGAATAAGTAAAGACATAATTCTTTGGGGATCTCAGCTTGACGACATACATCATATTTAGGATCATAGAATTAGCAGAGCAGATCACTATGAATAATTGTAATTTGTACAAAATTAATGTCGTTGAAGTTGACATAGATCATATTTAGGAATTAGGATCATAGAACTAGCTACAAGTTCATTTTCACGTTCAAAATTTAGGAGTGGCCCAAAAGTAAATTTAAGATAAAAACGAACTGAAGATCCCTCCTGTCTGTTTGCACTTTGCACCCGCAATTCAAAAACTCAACGAAAAAGGGGAAGTGAAAGAAAAACAAAAAAGGAAGTTCCATTCCATCCCCTCCCCTCTAGCGCCCTTGCTGACCGAGAAACCGAGAATTGAAGGTCGGTCGACCATGAAGATCTAGGTCGATCGCCGGCGGCTGAGTGGGGAACGAAATGAGCGGCGGTCGATTGTGCAGATTGCTGGGCGAATTGGGGTACCGAGGTGCTGAGTCTTTGGACCCTGACAGCTTCGAATGGCCCTTCCAATACGATGACGCTCGCCCCATTCTGGAATGGATCTGCTCCAGCCTCCGCCCTTCCAATGTCCTCTCCCTCGCCGAGCTCTCCCAGTTAGTACTGCTTGCACTTTCTTCGTTCCATGATAAGAATCGAGGGAAATGATAGAACTGCGAATCCTGTGGATTGGGCGGCTCAGAGTTCACCGAATTGAGCTACTCACTCTCAGTGGCCCGCATCTGATTTAATTACTCTGTCCTTCCTTCGGAATTAGTACTATCTTCTGCTCGTTCATCGAATTTGTGATTTTTTTTTTCTAGGTATGAGCAGTTTCTGCAAGAAGGGAAGTTATTGGAGGTAAACTTCTCAGTTCTCATGCTTGCTCTTCCTAAACCGTGTCACATATCGATATAAGCCATTCAGACAAAAAGGAGAACTAAGCTTAGGCAACATAGAATTGTTAGGGGGGGGATTTGAACTCAAGCAGGCAGATCTAGTATTGTGCTTCAATTTTGTGATATTACCTCATGAATCTTGTCATAAACGCGAGAGTTCTATCCCGAACAAAGCAAACATCAACCAGTACAGGGCTCAACAATCTCCTGCTTTCTTGCATTTTTCTCATGGGTTGGAAACTGCAAGCATTCGGTTTCTACATTGTGAGTATGCATTGCATAATTGAATGTCTCAAACTGACAGGGGGGTGACTTGGACTCGGCTTATGATAGTATTTCAGCATTTTCTTCTAGCCGAGACAACCAGGAGGCAGTTTTTGGGGCTGAAGAAAGTTTAAAAGATATAAGGTGTGGGACATGTAGACTTATGCTTTTCTGATTAATTTGATTTTGATGTGCTCTCTTTTCATGGTGAAAGATATTTTGGAGCTAACTGATGATGCACGCAACTTTGGTATCCATTTGCCGGTACATCTGTTTTCTGCTTGGAAACAAGTCTTCAATGAAGCTTGATATGGTATTTTGGGATACTGACAACCTCGACTTGATACCAGGGATGCGACTTTAGCATATAAGACTGAAGCTCTGGAGTTGCAGAGCCAGCTCAGCCATCTGCAGTCTCAATTCAAAATGCTTACTGGCCAAGCATCAACGTTGGTACAAGGAAGGCGTGCTCGAGTTGCTGCAACATCTGCAGTTAATGGGCACCTTACAACGATAGATGACAGTTTGTCAGCCAGAAACTTGCGCGTATGTTTAGTGAATCTGTCCTTATGATCCTTCAGTTGCAATATAGAGCATCATCTCTCAAACAACACTAGCCATTCTTTGTATTTCTACATCCTTGAGTAGCTACATCTCATAGTATCACCATGCTTATGTTGTTTAATTCACCATTCGATGTAGATGAATGAAGTGCTTGAAAGGATTGCTTCTGCAGCCGAGGAGTTGGCTAATTACCATTCTGGGGATGGTAAGGCTTGTTCTTTGCCTGTCGCCCCATCAAATTCTTCGTGTTTCTAAATAAGTTAGAGCACACTAAAAAAAGAAACTCCAGTAAACCAGTAGTATCATAACATATTTTAAGGTATGTTATATCAAGAGGCATCATTGGTTTCTAAAACTTGTGCTGTGCTACATCTTATAATTCAATTTAGTGCTACCTGTGGGGTCTTGTATATACAAAAGAGAATGAGTAGAGGGTGAACATGAAATAGAACAAAGAAGGCTTGGAATCCTATTCTCTCCGAAAGGTCTTTTTCGCATCTGTTAGAATACAAGGGTCCAACTTATATGTCTTATCTTTCTCTTTCTGTGATGACCTTGCAACTTGAATTCTGCACAGAGGATGGCATTTACTTGGCTTACTCGGATTTCAACCCGTACTTGCTTGGAGATTCTTCTTACATGAGGGAGATAAATCAGTGGTTTTCTAAACAACTGGACACGGTATGGAGATGACTCAATGCATTTATTTCGATCTATTGAATAAACTATCTATTTCTTCTTGCAGTTGTTGATGAATTGCTATGTAATGCAGATAATTTTTTTGCCTAATCATTTCTAGAACATATGAAACTGCAGCTTGCTTTCATATTTTCTGCTTGCTGTTATTTCTCTAGTGCGTAAACTCATATATGTGAGAAGCTTGACATATCTTCTTGTAGGGACCTGATGAAAATATGTGTTACTAGTTCATAGACGATTTGCTTTAAATGGTCCTGAACTTTTCTTTCTGTTATTCTGTGATGATAATTAGGGTCCTTTCAGACTAGTTGCAGAGGAAGGAAAATCAAAATGCTCTTGGGTCAGTCTTGATGACGTATCAAATGTTATAGTAAGAGGTATTCCCCTTCTTTAATGCTGAACTGTTTTCGGTACCTGTTAGAGGAAAATGGCTACTACCAGTGCTGGAGACAAGCACATCTCACAGATTATATATACTTGCGTAAGCATCAACATAATGTATTGAATAGTATGCTTATTGATTTTGTAATGCTTGTTTTGGATGTTGCAGATATAGAAATATCACATCAGCAGCGAGTATCTGAACTGCAGAGACTTCGATCTATGTATGTAGTTCTCCTTTTGTGTTTTCTAATTTTCTTCTACTTCATCGGAACTGAGTGTTCGGCAAATTGGTTTCTTGAATACTGTGGAGCTCTACTGGTAAACTTTTCTGTCTCTAAGGAGCTGATGAGGTTCCATTTAAATAAAATAGATCGCACACCTTTCATTTATATGAAACATAGCTATTTGGTTGTAAATTTTCCATTTAATGGAGAGATAGTAAGTCATTAATTTTTATTTATTTACTTCAACTTAAAGAAAATACTCTTTGCTAATGATGATGCTGTAAGCCGTAAAAGAGCAACTTACATCAATATAAGAAGTTGAGAAGCATATCCGTGGTCACATTCCCCTTTATTCATCTATTAGTCTCTTTCCTGACGCTCTTACGTGCATGCATCTCCATGTTAGTTGTCCCTTCTCATTGATCGTGGTTAGGTCCTTTCCTCTGAATTTATTTATTTGGAGGTCTTTCTCAACATATAAGAAGAATTTGAGACAACAGCAGAAATGCAGCTATGTATCTTTTTGGTAGGTGTGCCTGATGCTATTTGATCTGGCTTGAGAATAATCAATGAGATGTTTGCTTAATGGGCAGATTTGGAACAAGTGAGAGACAATGGGTTGAAGCCCAGGTTGAGAATGCAAAGCAGCAAGCTATTCTTGTGGCTTTGAAATCTCAGGTTGCATCTGATGAAGCACACATCCATCTTGATCTTCATTCTCTCAGGTAAAGTTCGTTGCTTTTTTTCAAATATTCTTTTGTCTGGGATAATTGAACTTGCATATCACATCTCTTGCTCCCAATTTTCCTTAGTTAATGAAGAATAATTGTTCAAACTAAAAGGAAATTTCCTTGATTGAACCATGCTTTTGGCAGCTAATAATTTGGAGACCTTCACTATTTTGCTTTTAAGATGTATGTACCCCTAGGAGAGATATTTCTTCCCCTTTCTCATACATCTGTTCCACTGTCTTATGTTCCCAACTAAACAAATGGAATCGAATCTATTAGTTCTATGACAGTTGGTTTTCATTTGGAAGATGGTCTATAAATAGATCCAATTTTTCTGATGACATTTTACTCTTGCATACTATCTATATGGGCAGGAGGAAGCATTCAGAACTGGTCACAGAACTCTCAAGCCTTCATCACAAGGAAGAAAAATTACTATCTGAGGTATGTATGTGTAATCTACATATTTTCCTACCTTCCCAGGTCTCTAAATAACCACTTTCAGACATTAGTATCTTTTCTTGATATTCTTTCAGTTGTACTTAAATGGTAGAGAGACAGAACCCTAGGTTGTTTTGCTCGGTTTATATAGCAATTGGCGTTGTTATTGGTGACTACTTATTTCTTGATGTAACTAGAATTCTTTTTGTCAATTGGAGCACTGCTTGGTATGCAATTTGCTGTCTGGCATGCAGGTTGGCTGGTCATGGCTGACAAATTAATTACAAAGGGCCATAGTAGTAATATAAGGCTATAACTTAAAAGCATCTTGCTTACTAATAAGTAATAAGCCAGCAACCACTTATATATGCCTTAATCAGTTGCTGATTGTTACAAAATTTAACAGGCAATTCCAGAACTTTGTTGGGAGCTGGCTCAGCTCCAAGATACATATATTCTACAAGGTATGGAGCATCATACTTTGTGTTGCGATATATTTTTTGGATCTTAGATAATCTAGGTTAGCTTGTTGTGCTTGCAGGTGACTATGATTTAAAGGTCATGCGACAAGAGCACTACATTACAAGGCAGAAACTGGTACCTTTTTTAGCCATATTTCTTATTGAGCTCACCTGGACCCCTACTATACTTCCCTTATTGGTTTTTACTGCACTCTTGTTTATAATGTATGACAAAACCAGTCATTATTATTATTATTATTATTTATTACGGTGATAGAAATATATTTACATGCTATTATTATTATTATTATTATTATTATTATTATTATTATTATAGCGCATCAGAATAATACTGTGAATCGTATATGTTGTAATGCTAACACTTAATTTCTGGCTGCAGTTTATAACTCATCTCATAAATCAGCTAGCAAGGCATCAGTTCCTAAAGTTAGCCTGTCAGTTCGAAAAGAAGAACATGCTTGGAGCATATTCACTACTTAAAGTTATTGAGTCAGAACTGAAAGGTTATCTGTCAGCGACCCAGGGCCGAGTGGTATGTTAAAATTTCTTGGATTTATAACTATTTATTTAGGAAGGACCCGATAACGCTAATCACGTCATTCTCAGCAAATCTTGTTTGCTGACAAGATTCATCACGATTCTTTCCAGGGTCGTTACTTGGCACTGATTCAAGCTGCATCTGATATTCAAGAACAAGGCGCAGTAGATGACCGAGATGCACTTCTGCACGGTATCAGGGACCTTCTAAGCATTCATTCTAGTAAATAACCAAAATCCCCTTGTGCTTTCTCGGATTTTCTCATATTAAGTCAATAATCAATGGGTCCTGGATATAAAATAAAAAACATTCTGGCTGGTTGTTGTTTTTTGTTAGATGCTCAAGCTGGATTGTCGGCATATGTATCAGCTCCTGGTATTGTGCAACAAATTTCTGCTCTTCAGTCAGATTTGACGTCGCTGCAGTCTGATCTTGATAATTCACTCCCAGAAGACAGAAATAGATGCATCAATGAGCTGTGAGTTCCCCCTAGCAGTGTTTAAGTCCTGGAATACCTTGTTTATATATATTGAAATCACGGTTTACTTCTTTCCCAACTGGCCAAATTTCATGGTGCTAGCATATATCAGATATTTAGAAGTTTCCGAGAATTTGTCTACTTAAGCAACCATGAAATTTGATGATGCCATACTCTACCAAACTTAAAAAAGAATACTATTGCCTCAAGCGTGAAAAGTTTTGGGTCAAATCGGTAGCCTGGTAGAGTTGTTGATGTAGTAATTGAATGTTTGGGCTTCAGCCTGCTGTTTAGAGGTTGCTTTTTATTTTTGACTAAGAACAGTAGTGCAAGACATACATGCTTGCGCCTCACCCACTGCCAAAGATTCGAAAGAGTGGTCTGTTTTAATCTCTTTTGATGCTTTACTACTTGGAGAAGCTACAGTATTTTGATTTTCCGTGTCCCCTCACAGAAGTGCATATGCTTTTTATTAAACTTACTGTACATAATAATGTCGCTTGTGAGTTGAGTTGGGTTAGGTAGATTGAGATGATTTTGGCGATTTTTTTGGGTAGATGATTTTGGTGACTTGAACACTGCTTGTAAGTTCAATTTTTGTACAGCCGACCCTATGTGCTCTGTTGAATAAAAAATCTAAGAACGTATTATTCTTGTTGTTGTTGTTGTTGTTGTTGTCAGGTGCACGCTAATACAAAGTATGCAGCAGCTGTTGTTTGCATCTTCAACTACTGCACAGCCGATTCTTACTCCTCGAGCATTGATGAAGGAGCTTGATGACATGGGGAAGACCAATGCTGATCTAGCTGCTGCAGTTGAAGAAGTTACACTTGAACACTGCAAGAAGAACGAGGTAAACCTTTGTCTTCCTTTGAAGGAATCGTGGCTCCCCCACCCCAATTTTATATGCTTCTGATTAGTTTTTGCAATCGTTGATGGGTAAATGAACTCCGCAGATGCCTACTTAACCTCAAAACAATTACTAGAATGCTTTCCTATTTGCATAATGAAGACAACAAAGATTTCTATGACGCTTCAAATTGACCACCTTATGTAAATAACAAATTGCCGCAACAAAATAACGTCCCAATTCATCTGGCCTTATATACTACCTCTGCAGCAGATCTGGAATGGTTACCCTAACTTAGTGTGCTGAGTTCAGAGTTCTATAATATGAATGCCGTATGCTGTAAGTATCTTTGTTAAGAGTAGTTGACATATTCTTCTACATCCAATTATGTTGGGCAATGCAGATAGTGAAGCATCATTCACAAGAAGTGGGGATTCAGAGGCAAGTGTTTGTGGACTTCTTCTGCAATCCTGATCGTCTGAGGGAAAGAGTCCGAGATCTAACCGTCCGTTTCAGAGCAATGCAAGTAACTTAAACTGCCCCCCTATCTTTTCTTTCCCTCAATCATAATCCACTTGTTGTGTACCTGGTACATTTTGTCTCCCATCTTTTCGTTGATTCTGAGTTGAAAATATCATAATCTAGGTTTTGTATGTTGGTCATCCTCCTAATCTGTGTTTTTAGTCTTATATTATACCACAATTGAGAAAGAGCATTAAATGAAACTCTCCCAGAAGGACTCAGTTATCAGAGTCTCGATGTTGAATCGTGAGCAACAACAATCGACTTCGTTGCTTGATGTTGGAGTGTTTCAGGAGAGAAAGCAGTGAAAGTAATTCCAAAGCATGGTACTTGAAATGGTGCTGTTATTTTGAATCGAACTTGTGGGTAATTCCATCTATCATTAATCTGTCCCATAAAGGGAAGTAGTCAAAATCTCACTTCTCCAGTATCTACATCATCTCATAAGAGACCCTCCCAACTACATGAAAACTAGTCATTGGAGGTGCCAGAAGCAGTAGCAGCAGGAGCAATGGCAGCCCTGCCGAACCTAGATAACTGTCGTTGTTTGCCGCTGCTGCCACAGTGAGAACTGGGAGCGGAGTCGAATCTGGGTTTCGTGGGCAATAGGCCGCCATTTTGCAACAAAGAAGCAAATGGTTTCGGTTTCTGGGGCGCAAGAGCAGGAGCGAAGCTCGTCTTGTGATATCGACACCGGAAGGAGCCAGGGTGGGTGGAAGGAGAACAAAGGCAAGCCCTCCTCCCTGATTTTGGTGTCTGATCAGTTGCTGCTGTTGTTGTGGTGGTGGTGGTGTTGTTCCCGTTGGCTTCTCTCATTGCTTCTTTGGTCTGCTTCCTCTTGTGTTTTTCCAACCTGATCAACAAGTTAAAACATAATAAACCAGTGTTCCCCAATCCATGTGTGCATTTAAATTCTCCTCCACTAGCATCGAGGAAGAAACAGTAACCTCAGACCATGTGTCGGGGAACATTAATTAAAAAAAAACTAACAACTTTGAGCCAAACTGACAGACACCATTAATGTTCCTGTTTGGAGTTTCCTTTACGCCACCCAATAAATAAACCCCTTGCAATAATAACCCTACTCTTCAACAGTGGCGATGTTGCATCGATAAGTCAGTCAGAAACACAGCAAAATTTAATGGGATTAGACACGCGGGACAGGCTAGTCAAAACGAACTGACATCACTCAAGCAAAAGCAAAAACCCCCAAGGACGGAAGTTAATCTATTTAATTAATAGATGTTGAGAAGATTAACTACGTTTTCCAAGGTTAATATAAATGCTTACCACAATAGAGCTGCCTTAGGGGAAGAAGAAGAAGAAGAAGAAGAAGAAGTGTTGTTGCTGCCAGCAGTGGAATTGAAGAGCGACGCCCGTGAGTTAGCCGCAGCAGCCATCCTTGGAAGCACAGAGAAGGCGAGAATCGACTGCTGTCGATCGAGGAGGATAATTATCTATGTGTACGTGTTTTTTGACTGCGCGAAATTCGACTACTAGTCATTAGGACGATTGCCATTATTTATACAAGATAGAGATGTTGGATAATTAATTAAGGCTGAGATGATAACAATATATAGTAGAAAAAACAGCAAGACTTGGCGTCCGACTAGGATTATGATTCTTGCGGCCAACCCAACGTCGTCCTTCAATTCTCTCTTATTTTCTTTGACAAAATAGGTTACACTTTTATTCCACCAAAGATAAGAAAGAGAAGAGAACAAGGTTTACACGAGTAAAGGAAATCAGAAACTGGATCAATTATATTGATCCATTTACTTGTTAGAGAGGAGCTCTAGTACTAAAATTTCTAGGCATAAACTTGACCTTTATTTGAGGGTTCAATCAAAGGATTGCAACTATGGATCCTATCATGGCATGATGATACGCCGACTTGACCGAGAAATTGCCCTCATAAGACTATCGCCAATAGATTTGGCGAATCACGACTAGACCCGTTAATCCACCGAAAGATAAAAATGAGTCGAAGTTTTTATAACTCGAAACCCGAATGACTCGAACCCAATTAACCCGTAGTTTTTTTTGGGTCGGATTGGGTGGATTAGCTGGATGACCGGCTAGACCCGTTCCATTTCCTATTGTCATACATATGTAAAAATTTGTCTTCTTCAAAAATTTATGAAGCATGTTTGATATTGTTTCTGAGAACGCTCATAACCTGAAATGACCTAAAATCTTGGATAAATAATTGACCCGAAATCAGGCAATCCAACATGACCCGACCCGTGATGACTTGTAACTCGAGATTCTTAACCCTAAAGTACCCAACCTGACCCGATTGTCAGGTCTAATCTCCAATGATAGGTGAAAAAGAGGGAAAATTAGAGCAAAAAAATGGATAATACTAGCGCCACAAAGAAAGTAGGAAAAGACCAAAAACACTTTTAGTCGAAATTTACTGTTGGTTTTCTTACTTTATTTAGATAATTTAGTTATTATTTTTACATAGCTAGTCATAATTAATTATGACGAACATTTCGATATAATTTTTGTTAATTCAACTTGGTACTCAACTATGATTTGATCTTTTTGCATTTCATACGCACTTGTGTATGAGAGCGGATCTGGTGACTAAGGGGGGTGCTTAGTCACTTGACTAAGCTCCTCCCAGCCCTTAGATCTGGACACTTCAATCTAATGGTTAAAAAGTGGGAAGGGCTATTTAATTAATGACAGGGGTAGTTTGGGTATTATGGAAAATTACGAAGTATACAAACCAGATTTACAATCAGGACAAACCATACAAACATACGAACAGTACAAACTAGAGCGACAAAACATACAAACATTACAAACGTATGAACTGTACAAACAATACAAACTAGACCGACAAACAATACAAATCATACAAAAAGAAAAAACAACCGGGTTGACTTTTGAGGCTCCATCCCTATATAGAGGGGCTCCTTCCCAAAGTCAACCCGGGTGTTTTTTAGACATACAAACAGTACGAACATGGTGGACAAAAATGACAAACTAGACCGACAATCCATACGAACGGGAAAAAACACCCGGGTTGACTTTGGAGGCTCCATCCCTATATAGAGGGGCTCCTTCCCAAAGTCAACCCGGGTGTTTTTTAGACATAAAAAACATTACGAACATGGTGCACAAAAATGACAAAGTTTACAAACATTACAAAAAAACCCGACAAACATTACAAAATAACAAAGCATACAAACATTACAAAATATGTCAACAAACATCACAAAATTAGCACTATCGCCGGGAAATTCTTCTCCGGCGACGATGTTCGCCGGGAAAAAATTTCTGATACAAAAAAAGTCTCTCTCTCTCTCTCTCTCTCTCTCTCTCTCTCTCTCTCTCTCTCTCTCCCTCTCTCTCTCTCTCTCTCTCTCTCTCTCTCTCTCTCTCTCTCTCTCTCTCTCTCTCATGGAATAATGGCGCCCAGGAGACCCTTGAAATAAATAATGGCACCCTCTCTCTCTGGGATGGAATAATGCGCCCAGGAGATCCTTGAAATAATGGCGCCCAGGACCCAGGAATTACCTTAGTCGGAGACGGAGGCGGGCGGGAGGCGACCGATGCAAAGGGACGGGGACTGAAACGGGCTGGGTTATTTTTTATTTATTCCTTTTATAATTAAAAGTTAAAAATAAACATGCAATTACTATACCGCCCTTCATTAAATTGGATTAATAGGAGCCCTTAGATTTTAATGAGGTGCAAGGGTGGAGATTCACTTAGCCATGTGACTAAGGGGACCCCCCTTAGTCACCTGATCTCAGCCCCTTGTGTATGAGGGCTAAATTGATAATGCTTCTTACTCATGATCTCTTGGCCGTGTTTATTCTTTTCCCTTGTTTCCCCGGGCCCTCTCATGTTCTTCTCTAATGATTGCGAATCTTGCATGTGTTCCCTAAGAAGCCACCATTTTCGGTCATACTCTAGGAAAAATCCACCATTGAAGAATCATCTTGTCCTATGTTCTTCTTCTTTTGCTCATCTCAAACTTCACGACGGTTGATGATATAAGGAACCGCTCTTGCATAAAGATCAAGGCTCTCATTTTCATCAGAAGGCATACAAGAAGAAGATCCTATTATTTGTGGAATGGGTCCTTCCGGGGCAGACCATTGTTGCATAAATTTTGGACAAATGCTGGAGGATATTCAAACAATGTTCCATCTTCCATTATTTCTTCGTGTTGGTCATGAGATAACACTAGCTTATTCAACCTAGATAATGAATTCAATTAAAAATCTTAAATATAAAAATCATGCAATTATTTCAATGAATATATATAAGAAGTCAACTAACCACGAAAGTATGTTAGAAATGCTTGTTGGTCCAACATTTACCCTCGTCTAAGTCTTATTCAACTTTCCTCGTTAATAGTTGATGCTCGTCCATCTAGGTTGCAAGGCGACATCGATACGAACAACAAGAAATTCCTTGTTGCGATATTGTCATATTGATCTCCAATATAATAAATCAGAGTTTCATTGGTATAAGAAGATACGTTTATCATCAATGGTGGTATCATTCTTCTCTTCTATGAATTGTTAGTTCAGTTTCATTATCAAGGACTTGAATTGCATTTATGCTTATACCATCTTTTTATATGATATGCTTTTATTCATTTTTATCTATGTTATTCGATACTTATTTCATTAGATGCCTTAGTCATGTGATGATTATACCATTGTATGCATATGTCATGTGATGCTTATGATATTTGAATGCCTTAGTTATATGACGCTTTAATCATGTGATGTCTACAACATCTATTATATTTTATTATAGTGTTGCTTATAATATCATTGTATGTTGCATGGGAAACCCAACTTATGTGATATGTGACTGTCTCAGGAGTGTATGGAATGGGTTGATCACCCATCTATACTCGACTATGTGCAATGCTTGATACCTTAGATTATCAATTGTATACATCATCATTACGGTTTGTAGAGGCCCTAAATAGTGACGTGATATCCTTACTTACTTCCTTCATTGATTGATTAGTATAGTGACATGAAGCGAAAACACACAATAGCTAGTCATAATTTCTATTGCATGTGATAAAACCTCTAATAGGATGACCTTAGTGGGAGGGATAGAGATACATAATAGAATATGTATCGTAGCTTATCATTATTGAGAATGAAATGCATGATCATCTAGGATTAGCTTTCTTCTCCATCCGTATATTCACTTTTCTTGTTTTTATGTTATGTTATGCTTTACTTTATATGCATCTCTAAAACCAACTAAACATAGGGAAGATCAACCCATCTATTTCTGTTGAGTCATTGTTTGAGCATTAGATGATTAGATGTGAGTAACTATTATTAAAAAGCCTTGTGGAATACCATCATAGACATTTCTAGAATATGAAAGCATCAAGGTATGACTAGTACACGGATTGCTATCAAGGTGGATTTTTAGTAGTATATGAAAGCATCTAGCCACCTTATGTCTCTGTATTATCTTTAGATTTAGTTCATGAGAAAAGGACATTTCAAGCAACACTCATCTTGAGTCTAACTCGAGTTGGGAGAAGGAAATTGATGAAGACATCAACTTCGATTTTGGAGACGAACATCCTCTAAAGCATCTTCCACATCAACATAAATGGGAGAGGAGCAAGGAATGTGATTCTAACTACTCTTTATGAGTATTCAAGATCAAGAGCTTCGAACATCACTTTGAGCATTGTTGCACCACTAACAACCATGGAGATCTGCACATCATTGATGCAGATGGTGCCACAAGGTGTAAGGTTTGCAAGAAGGAGTGATGCCGATCTAGTGCAACATCTAAAGACACTCCTGGAGATCCTAGATTTTATTCTCGAAGATGAAGCCACCAAAAGAGC